TTTCCCCATCATTCACGTTTCTTTTCCCCCATCATTCAAGTTTTATATTTTCTCTTTCTTCAAATTTCTTTGCAGGTCAAGAAATACAAATTATGAATGGTTCTCCTAATTTGTTCAACAAATCTTTAACTTAACTCAAGAAATATCTCAATTGATAAAGATAATTTCGATTATTTAGTGATATTTATGTTGATTTTGTTTTTAAAATCACCGATTATCTTGTATTTAAGATTTTATATATTACGGAGTTTCCATCAATTTTTTCGATTTTTATGTGAGTTTGGTTAGATAATCATCAAATATTTGTATTTCAGATTTTTAGTCTTTTAAACAATTTTTTTTTATCTTCTTGTGATTTTGATTTAGGGCTCGGGCGGTTTTCCTGTCGGGTTCCAGATCTACGCCGCCACCGCTATATGGATGGTTCCGAAAAGACTCTTCTTGAATCCATGGAACTTGATGAATCAATTGCCGGATAGAAGTTCTTAAATGTCCATTCATTCTCAATTCTAAATAACCAAAATACAGTTTATTTATGTATTCATCCTAATTGCATTATGTAAAACTAAAGTTTTTATCTTATTTTGCTTATTTTGTATTTACAATATCACTTTGTATACCAAATAGTTTGTATTTAGATTTGATTTTGTATTCGTCCTAATGGTATACCATCAAGTTTTTGTATTTATATTTGATTTCGTATTCATTCTCAATTCTAAATAACCAAAATACAGTTTATTTATTTTATATAGGTGTTCATCCTTGCATCAATAAAACAGATTTTGTATTTTATTTTGCTCATTTTGTATTTTCAATATCACTTTGTATACTAGATAATATTTATTTAGATTTGATTTTGTATTCATTTTCAATTCTAAATAATCAAAATACAATTTATTTACGTATTCATTATATACGTACCCGTACTATTATTAGTAAATAGATTTGTATTTTATTTGGCTCATTTTGTATTTTCAATATCACTCGCAATTTATATTTCAATTACATTTTAAAATAATGACACACAAAATCATATTTAAAGAAGTCCATCCGAATACATTTCAGATAAAATCATATTTAAAAAAGTTCAAACAATTAAGGATAAAAAACTAAGGGAAATATTTTTACCTTTTTTAAAATATTTTTTTCTCCCGTGATTCTCTCCATTATGTTATTAAATATTAAAAATTTGTATTCTTTCAAATTAAATAAATATAATCAGCATTATAACAAACCAAAATATTGACATTTTCAATAAATATTGAAAGTGTTGACAAGGGGTCCTATTAGATGCTAAAATATTGCTGTTTTGAAAATTTTCCCTTAATTTTATGGTTAAAATTCTATTGAAAAAATGCTATTCGCTTTCGAATTTTCTTAGTTTTTTGGGGAATTTAGAAGAAAAAATCTTATTACGGATTTTTTTAAAAAAGATTGAACTTCTATTTACCATAAATTTAAAATGCACTAATTCAAGTTTTTTTTTCTCAATTTTATATATGACTCATTCAAATCAGTTCAATTCAGTAAACTTTGGTGATCAATTATATCACTTTTTAATTTTTTTTCTTCCGCCGAAAAAATCTTACATCGTCCTCATATCATAGCTACCTACCTAATTTTTCCTCCTACTCTATTTATTTTTAGTTTTGTTAATACCAAATTTTGCAATAAAAGATGACAAAGTAATATTTATAATATTGTTTTTCAAAAGCGGCTAGATTTTAAAGAAAAATCCTAAAAGTAGATACATCATATTATATTTTCGCAATAAAAGCTAGAATTTATCTTGTTAAGTTGAAAGATATCTTGATGCTATTTTTTTTTTTTTATACTTTCTATTAAATACATTTACCATGCGAAAATTACTGAGTCAACTAATCTAATTTCATATTGAGCAAGGAACACTTAAAAAAAACACTAAATTGGATCTTTAAGGCCTAAATCCTAATAGACACCATAGAACCCTATTATATATGTTTAAAATAGACAAAATCTACTCAACGTATCTAAGTGAAAATTGGTGTCCAGTTGAGCTCAAATGAGACACCAAGTTACATTATAACTAATTACACACTCAAATAAATCATCTTATTCACTATATAAAACTTTATGTCATTTGCTAATCCAATTCTAATAATTATGTAATGAACTCAATTCATCGTAGCCCCTAGCAAAGCCAAAATAAAAGAGAGAGCATTATTGTAAACAACTCATTCTCTTTTCACCTTTTTCATAATAATTGCATGATAAAACTATTAACAAGTACTGTGATTTTTACTGTACTTATGAATTTGCAAAAACTATATTGACTTAATAACCTGACTAATCATACTTATTAAGGAAAAGATAGACAACTGATCTTTAATCCTTTAGTAACTGTAATAAAAAGGAGGGAAACAATTATGAAAATTTACATGCCTCAATTCTTTAGAGCCTAACATCCTAAAAGACCAGGCCATTATACTTGGGGCCAATCAATTGTATACACGAAAGAATCGGGTTTCAAATCCCCATGAATAATGGGGTGCACCATGAGCTATGAGCAAACACAGATTAGGCAACCACCATCAAAATCACGTCTATTGTCAATTCTTTGATTCATCTACCCAAGCAAGAACTTGAAAATGTCACCCACTGATATGATACCTTCTACACGTTTGCTTCCCGCTTCCACAACAACAACCCGCCTAACCCCTGCAAACCATATCAACAAGTTACTACTGCAGCACATGAAAAGATAACAGGCCAAGAAGATTTTGTATGGTAGTAAGAGGACAGAAGCTTAACCAGGTCTGGACAATCTTTCCATCACTTCATGCAATGAATCAGACCGTAAACACATGTGACATTTTTGACTGCTCAACCCATAAGTTGCATATGGTTCTTCTGCAAGTTGCAATGCCTACAAACACATAAACATATGAATGAAAATTAACCCCCACAAGAAAAAAAAAAACATCCGAGTAATATACTGTTTTTTTTTTTACCCTCCCTAGGAGCTCCCACCCCTTTTGCTCCCTTGGTGACTCGAACTCGCAACCTTCGAGTTGGAATTGAGGGGTGCTTACACCTAAAAATATTCACTTCTATAAGAAGCAAACTGTAAGCTCCACACTAAATTTCTCTCCCTCTCTCTCTCCATATATATCTATATATTTATACAGGATCTTTAATCCTAGCAGGAAGGAGAGGGGAATATATATATTTTTGAATGAATAAAAAAAACTATAAATTTTACCATAGATTTAAAATAGAAAGATATGAAATTTCCACCCAGAAGTATCCCAGTGATTAGGCGTTGTTGATTATAGCAACACAGACCGCCAAAACTAAGAATCTTTTTCTTTCTTTAGGTTTAGGTCAAAAGTAACTTCTTTTTTTATGAAGTAAGAAACTATACTATATAATAGGCATCAAGAGGATGCAATACATACAAAAGAGAGAAGGAGAAGACACGTTGGTACAAAAAGTGCTAAGCTAGAACAAAGGAGCTGACAAAATCCAAAAAGTTAATAGGGCAATCTACAAGGGCTTAATTTTGCCAACTACCATAAAAGACATCTAGCTTTAAGAGTGTGCGAGGAGTAGATTAGCCATCAACACATCGGTTGAAAGTAACTATATTGAAATACCAGCAAAAGTGATTGCTGTGAAAAGTTACACCCAACAGAGCCCCATTTCAGACTATGTAATGCACTGAGAAAATCAACAGTGGCCATGCTATAATTTACCACCTGAACTTAGAATCCTTATGACAGGTTCTGGTGGTATCCACTAGTTCAAAGACTCTCAAGCAAGAATTTTCTTATCCAGATGCAAAAAATATATCCTCGCGAGAAACTTCATTACTGCTGGCATCCAGTTCAAATTGAGTTTCAGAATACTCTCCATAAAAAATATAGTTCACACACCTATCCAAGCAAATATGCAAGATACATTTGCTGATTTTGTAATTTTATTGAGTCATTTATTGAGAGAACAGTAACTCTGCCTATGTGAATGGCAAAGCCAGTTTCAAAAGGAGGGACACGGAAGGTTGACAGCCAGCATAAATAGTCAAATCATGGTGAATCCTCTGAGGGTACAGAGAGATCATACAGCCAGCCCAATCAGCTAATCCACTAGATGGGGACTGAAGCGTAGTTGCATTGAGAATGGTTAGGAGGAAACTAAGGTGTAACTAAGATTACACCTTCCTGGAAAGGGAACCCTCAACATGATGGTGAGAAGAAGGGTATAAAATCCCAGGCCCAGTAGTCAAACCCCTGAACTATACCTATTGAAGCTAGAAATATATTTAAAAATTGAACTCAAGGCACAGTACCTGATGAATACTCATTTCCTCAAGATTGATGTGCGTGTAGATCTTGTCCTTGGCCAAAGCTGTAATATCACTGCCAGCCATAGATTCAGGCATTCAGCAAATTAACCTAACGAAGGTCTACACACACTACAATATCTACAAGTCTGAATATGGAAAAACAACTAATTATTTATAAACCTTCGGGAGTATATATCCAACAAGGAGTCGTTATCGTCAACAATGGGAATTGCACTAACTTGAGCTGCGAAGGGGACAAAAACATGCATAAGAGATACAGACATTTTATTAACTCACTAGCCAAAACTTATCAACATGTGACCAAATATCTTTAAGAATAGTGAGAATTCATATTCGTCAGTAATATTAATGGGCTAATAAATTCTTTAGTGGGGAAGTATATTACTAACAACCATACTTGATCTTAGCCAAAAGACTGAGAAAGGTATAACCTTGCACTAACAAATTCAATGCTGCATTCAGAGAAGCAGTAGGCCTCAGCATTGCCAGGGGTTGTCGATTTGGCTCTCCAATTTTCGGAACCCATGTGCCCAAAGGAATTGCACCAATTGGCAACTGAAGTATTGGTAAAGACTCTGGAGAATGCTTGAAATACCTGCAAATATCTGAAAGGTAACAAAGCTGTGAGCCACAATAGCAAGATTAGTGAAAACCCAAGAAAAATTAAAAGCTCACGTTTTAGTATTTCAGAAAGAGAAGCAAGATATAATAGCTGGGGATATGATCCATCCAGAGCTGGTGAATGAATTATAGGTACTGTAGCGACCCCATTTTGCAAAATTTCCAATGCCACATCCTTCAAGCTGTTATCTGGCCCTGACTGCATTGAATAGTGGAAATCAAGACGTGTAAAAGAAGAAATTGACGAGCAATAGGTCCTAAATACACAATAGAAGTCTCTGATTCATAAACCAGGACAGGTGACTAAGAGAAGTAAAAGAAAATGCAAGGGACATCTTTAGCAGGAAAAGTGTCACAACAGCCAGATGCAACTAAACAAATTTAATCAACTAATCTCACATTAATACAGCACATAAGTAGTGATTAAATAGGCACAGGTGATGCTATTCTCTCTTGCAAAATTGAAAAAATGTATGCAATCCATAGCAGCAAGATTGCAATGATCTTAGTAGGCTTTCGTCATTTTCATTTTTAATCATCAAACTCATGATTGATTCCAAGATATAGGATACAGTAACAAGACGATATAAACTATTTGGTCTTATTATCTACTCTCAAAGAATCATGAAAGTGTAAGTTCTTATTCCCCAGGCTATCTACCCTCAATTGTATCCCATCAATCAATTACAACAAAGTGTTGTTCAAATGCTTGAAGATTTCATTCAACCAAAATCTGTAAGTTGCAGTTGTTCCAGATATGGATGGCAACGCTACAGCAAGCACATAGATTCAGAGAACATCAATAAGGATTTTTTTAAGTGTTAACAATAACCGAAAGAATCCATGAGAACTGAAAGTCGGAGGGATAAAGTTAAATCTGCACTTTGCACACTGACATATCAAGCAGGCCAAACAAACTCACCCAAACAAGTTGCCGTGGAGCTGATTTACCAAGCTCATTGGCTTGTCTGCTCAAGTAAGATTTTGCCTCTTTCCATGCAGATATAGTATGTGTCTCAAGCTCTTCCTCAGTCAGATTGGAACCATGATTCCCAAGCTGCGACAGGTCACGAGATTTCTTTACATTCAGTTATGGGAGAAAAGAGCTAAAAAGATACATAATGTCTTTCTCAAAAACATATTAATAAGGGAAATACACCACAGATTCTCACGATATGTGATGCATGAATGATTCATCATTAACAACACAAAGAAACTAGTCAAACTACAACTAAAATGAAAAAATTGCAAGAAATGCAACTACTTCCAGCAGCAAGTTAGCAGTAGATGTATCATGACACAGTGACCTAAAAGATTAACCAAGAAGAAAGGGCAATCAGCCAGAAAATAAACTGAATAGCCTCATAAGCCTATTTAGGTGTAGTCAACTAATTGATCATTGATATTGAAATGAAGCATGGCTGCAAGATCACAAAAGTTGGGGAAAAACAAAATACATAAACTTAGCTATATCCCACCTCATTAACCCACATTTTGATGGAATGCAAGAGCACAGTATCAGCAAGTGAACATAATGCCAATAAGAGAAACTTCCAACATAGAAATCACACAAGAAATAACAATATAAGTACAAAGACATTAAGTCTAGTTTTAAGTAATTTGGCTACACACTTGCTAAGTCATCATGTAAAACTTTCGGGTATCATCTATTTCTTTTTTGAAAATTTCCTCCTTTCTTAGTTTGGAGGTGGTCAAGTTCCAACATGGTGCAGGTTTTCAGCTTAAAGAGAGGGAAAAAATATTTCTCTAGAGTCTTGACAATAGATGAGAGACAAAGCCAAGCCCACACGAACATCTAAAAGCATTGGTAAATCCACTATGCAGAGTGGGTCATATTACTATAGGAAGCAAGCATAAAATCAAACCAAAGAGCTATCTTAAAATGTCACTTTACACATACTTCACCTACAGCACAACATCTGTCTATAAATAAGACTGATCAAGGGCACCTCCAAAACAGTAATAGAAGTATAAAACCACTAATGGGACCAGCCACATCACATTGTAAGCCAAAAAAAAGGACCAGCTTTACTTAACTCATAACAAAATAGAAGTCGTACAAGATGTCTGAAGAAATACAAATGATGATAACAGCATATTACTGCTAAAAGCATATCAAGAAACATAATCAAAACTTGCAAGGAACTCTGCTTACCTCTCTCATGATTAAAATAAAATCCAAAGCACTAAGGACTCCAACAAATTGTGCCCTGCTGAAATCCCATAAAGGAGCCATAGGAATACCCTGAAAATAATATGGCTCAGAAACAGATTTTATAATATTTTCAGGAAAGAATATAGAGAAGTATAACCAGCATAATGAAGAAGGAAATGCCTAATCTTATTTCAAATTATGCTAATACACTGAGTATGGCTGCAGAAAAAGGCAGTAGTAAGTAGTATAGCTAACAAGTCACTCCATTCCCAATACTAGAAAATGAGCAAGGCTCATACAATAATGGAGTTTCTGACCAAAATCGACCCTATTGATTCATCAAAATTTTCATTACATCTTTATAACATCTCTGTTGACCTCAAACATTCCTCAAAATTTTTTAACTTGACCAAAAACAGAGGGCTAAGTATGTTGGTTCCACTCTTTCATTTTGTTCTTTTGCTACATTGGAACCTCTTATCCAGCCATTTTTATGGGCAATTTTCATCATATTGTTAAGTCTTTCCATCACCAGAATGAGCAGAAAGGAGACAATGGATCACCTTAGCTCAACCTCTTTGAGAAGGAAAAAAACCTTCAGGTGAGCCAATTATCAGAACAGAGAACCTCACAGTGGTAATGCAAAATCTTATCCATCTAATCCATTTCCCTCCAAACCCCATTTTCTGAGAATTCCAAGCAAAAAACTCCAATTCACATGGTCATATGCCTTGTCAATATCCAATTTCCACATGATGCCTGGCGTCTTATCTTTCAATCTGAAATATATGCATAATTGGCAATAAGAACAACATCTGTGATCTGTATGCCTTTCAAGAATCTTTAAGAATGTCATATGATGAGTATCACTAATGTGTGCATCACCTTTTTCCATCTCTCTGTTGGATCTTGGATATCAATTTATATATTCTCCCTATAAAACTAATAGGTCTAAAATCTATCAATTCCTTAGCCCCATTCTTTTTGGTAATAAGAGCTATGTAAGTTGCATTGAAGCTCTTCTCGAAAACTTCTTGAGAATAAAGTTGTGCATAGTGGACATCACATCATTCTTAAAGACCTCTCAACAATGAACAAAGAACCCCATAGTGTACCCATCTAGACCTGGTGCTTTATCTCCTGCACATGCCTTGAGACCATCCAAAACTTCTCTCCACAAAAGACTCTTGCAATTCATGTTGGTCCTATGTGTTTATGGTAAGACACTGGTACATGTTGTAATAGGGAATCCATTTCTCATTTTCAGAGTAGAGCTTCTGATAGAAGATAACGATCTCCCTTTAAATGTTCTCTGGCTCCACAATATCTTCTCATCCTACCGGTAGATGATCAATGTAATTATTTCTCTTGCGGGCATCAGCAATTCTCCGGAAGAACTTTGTGTTTTTATCACTCCGTTTAATCCACAGTGTTCTTGATCTTTGTCTCCATTTAATCTCTTCCTCTTTGGCATAATCTTCAAAATCCATGAATAAATTAGTTTTCTGAATGGCCTCTTCATCAGTTAAAGATCTATTATGTTGAATGTCGTCGACCTCTGCAATTTTGCTCAGAATCAGATCTTTATTCTTCTCCAATTTCCTATAGGTGCTTGAGCTCCAAACTTTGAATTTAGCATTCAAAGCTTTTAACTTGGTTGCTGAAATATAATCTGACATTCCGTTAGTAATAATGGAATCCCACCAAACCTCACCTTTCTCATTGAAACCTTCAGTTTCCAGTCATCATCCTTCAAATTTGAAATAAAACTTTTTGTGTTCCCAACTGCAACTTTGAAGCGCAATTGTGGGGTCAGAACAGATTATAGGAAGAATTTCTTACTTAATATTATTGAAATTTTCTCCTCATCCAGTAGAGTATAGGAACCTGTCAATCGTGGAAGAGGTTTCCAAGTTGTTCACTCTAGTCCAGGTCAGGTATAGCTTCCCCCATCTAGTTGAGGATCAATCAACTCCATATCCTCAATAAAATCAGAATATTCAGTCATGTATGTAGACGTTCTGGAGCAATTCTTCTTCCCTGAAGCACATTTGGCAATACTAAAATCACCCCTTATCACCCACGGTCCCATAAACAAACTTCTCAATCCTTATTTCCCTACATACCTCTTGCCTTTCCTGATTACAATTTGGTGCAGATACCCCTATCATGTGCCAACCAAAATCATTAGTTGTCGACTTGAATCTACAAGTCAAAGTATAGACATTGATTTCCACTAGCATTGGGTCTAATTGTAAGGAGCACCTGACATTAGCTTGGTTAGAACTAAGAAGCTGGGCCTCAGTAAAGAGAACTTGGCCTTTATTAAAAGTAGCTCCTTTAAAACATTGTCTGACCTTTCCTTTGGCCCGTAAAAGAGCTCCTTACTTTTGATTAAAAAATACTTCTCTGTCCTACGTGTCGCTGTGCCCTTGCCAGCTGTGTTATTTGAATATTAGAAATAGGTATCTGCTCAAAAGAATCCATGTTCCTCTTTGTATCAAAGCAAAACCTATTATCTTTAAGAGTGTAGGGTTTTTTGGCCCAACGGTCCTTATCCTGCGGGACTTCCTCCGCTCTAGCAACCACCATGGTTCTCAACTCACTCCAGATCGGAATTAAAAAGGTAAGACCATTGTTGACAATCTTTACCTCTTTCGGAACTTCCTTTCCAAATCCCTTTGTTCTCATTCTCACCCACTTCAAATGGTTTTTCAGGGATGTCTCTTCCTCTGTTTCCAGCCATCCCCCGCATTGATTTCCAATGGCTTTGAACATTTTTTCCGTCCAAAATTGAAGAGGAAGACCTATTGCTTCAGTAAAGAAGAGAAGGAGAAACCAATCAGAAAATGGGTGGTGAGTACTTGGAAGAACACTCTTGGAATTAATATATACGAAATGGGGGGCTGCTCTTATCCACATTGAGGCCTCTCAATTGGTGCAACAACCTATAGTCGGCGACCACCATTCGAGATGAATCTTCAATTGTTTCCAAGCACTGTCCTTTAAGAATACACTCAACCATGTGCTTGTTTGGAAACTCAAACAGAAAAGAGTGGACCCCCATTTGGTATATTTTAACTCCAAAAGCGTTCTTCCAAGTATTCACCACCCATTTTCTGATATCTGAAAGTGTTAGTTTCTCCTTCTCTTCTCCACTAAAGCTTCCAATAATATATCTTCCCAGCAAGCCATTTTCCTGGTTAGCATCACCACCAGAGATGATGATACAGGAGTTTTTGTTGCTGATCAGAGACTCAGATGCTTCTTTTGATTGCCACTTGCTAGTTCTGACTGAATCTGCATAAGGAACCTTCGGATCTATCCTCCTAGGAATATTTGTAATAAATGTTCCTTTATGTTCCTTGATGAAATTATCTTAAATGCTATGTCTCCCCATACCAACATTAAATGTAACTTCTGGAATAATAATGATATATCTGTTCCCTCCTTGTACTGTCACAATGCTTATAAATCTTCCAAATTTGTTGTGCTTTCGGAAAAGAAGTTTCGAGTATTGTTCATTTAGCTTCTACCTTCTCCTATGGGTGCCAGAGTCTTTTGAAGCTTCTTGGAGTACAGAGACTATCCATTCCATTGCTTTCTTGCTGAAAGTTGTTCTGCGCATCAGACTCCGGCTTCTTTCAAACCCATTCAAACCAAACTTCAGCTCTGCCTGCAAGTCTGGTGATATCGTAAGACTTAAAACCTACTGCAAAGTAGATTCTATTTCCCCCATAAAAGCTAATATCTTCTTGAACTTCTCCCTGATAACTCACTCAACTTTGCAACTGCCAAGTTTTGATTTTTTTTTCTTTCCAAAAAAGCAGTTTATCTCTGATTTTGAGACATAACATAATTAATTAATTAAAAGTCTACTCTCTCTAATAGCTAAGGTTTTAAAGATGGTCACACTCTTCAATGGTGAGGATAATCCACACAGTTCTGCTTAATGACCATTCTGGCGATTTTCCTTTTTAATGGAAATGAGGCTTCAAGCATGTCCCCAACAAAAGAACAGTTATCAAATGTGACAAAATCTGAAAGCTCCATATATATCATGATACAAACAGGACATCTAGCAGGATAGAAGATATACCTGCTCATGAAGAATATGAAATGCTTGCTTTACGGGTAAGTCAACATCCAAAGCAATGACCTGAAAAATAGTCCTTATCAGAAAAGGCAACAAAACACTCATTCTCATAACCCATCACATCACCTAGACAGAAAATAGGATAAATAGATCAAACCTTGGTCGACCCTGGAAGCAACTCATAAGCTGAATGTGTTGATAGGACTGCAGATATGCGGTGGCGGGAAATATCCAAATCTGACTGCGATATCTTGGAAGCATCATCTGGCAAGGCAACATCCGACACTCTTACCTATGACACATATAAGAAAAAGTTTTTAGACAAATCAAAAGGCGAATTTACTAGCTCTCCCTCTAGAAGAAGACAATATGTTAGGGAGGGTATAAAGAGGTCATATAGGCAAAAATAGTTGAACACCAGGTGCAAGGTCAGATAGAAAATGAAAATGGAACACCAGATGCTTCAAAATCACTTGTTTTATCATTTAATTAGTAGAATTAAGTAACGGGTGTCTCAAAAATAAGTTCATAGGTTCTTATAAATGTTTGTCAAGTCATCCACTTCACAAAATGGGGTGTGCTTGAAAAGGAGATTCTGATAACCATCTTATTGACACCCTCATACCAAAAATGAGCTGGTTCGACAAGAAGAAACATAAACTAGACAGTTAATATGGAGATTTAATGTCTGACTAGTCAAGTCATCCACTTCACAAAATGGGGTGTGCTTGAAAAGGAGATTCTGATAACCATCTTATTGACACCCTCATACCAAAAATGAGCTGGTTCGACAAGAAGAAACATAAACTAGACAGTTAATATGGAGATTTAATGTCTGACTAGTCAAGTCATCCACTTCACAAAATGGTGTGCTTGAAAAGGAGATTCTGATAACCATCTTATTGACACCCTCATACCAAAAATGAGCTGGTTCGACAAGAAGAAACATAAACTAGACGGTTAATATGGAGATTTAATGTCTGACCTTTTCAGAAAAACTAACGACATGTTATAAACTAGAATAGAAAAACAGAAGTTGACTCTTGATAAAGAAAGAACACTGGTGCACGAAGACAATATATATAAAATACAGATGCATAAATCCTCTGCTCTAACTACAGATTAGTCCATACAATGTGATGGAGAAATACATCAAAATAATATTAGACACACTAAGGAAGTCTCAAATATTCTAAGCATTCATGATCGCTTTGCAATTCAGCAATTTGCACGAGTAGAACATTCACTAACCAAACGCTGAAAGGCCTGATTATCCACATCCATGTTAGAGCTAGGAGGTATTTGTGCACTTAGTACTGCTGGAAGGTAGTCAGACTCTCTGGCCAAGAGGACAGTATTGACTGTTCCAAGGCTTCCACTTACAAAAGGTTGGTTCTCATCGTGTCGCCATTCACCATCAACAATGAACTTGTACTGCAAGTAAAGTATGTAACCATAAATCCTTCATCACATGTAAGGAAGCTGAATACGAAATCTAACGAGGAAAAGAAGCAAAATGATTAAAATAAAATTGCCACTAACAAGAAAAGGCAAATGATATTAGAACTCAAATCATCACACATAAAAATGATTACCACCTCCGAGACACAGGTAAGATGCAAGAGTTCCAGGAGGCCTTCAAAGGTTTCTCTCTTCATGAAAGAGAAAGGGCAATGGGATATGCTGGCAAGATCTCACACTTACCTATGCTCCCCATGATAACTGAATTCATAAATTACGGCCAATAAACCATACGAGCCGACAGATACATCGGCCAAGGTTTCATGATTATGCTGTCCCACACAAATCATTTACCTGTAACTATTCACTAACCTTACGAAAATTGATTACATTGGAACGTTTACGAGGAGGAATACACTGAATTTGATAAATGCATTGCTTGTGAAGTATGTGTGCATGTATGTTCTATAGATTTACCCATTGTTGATTGGAAGTTAGAAACTGATATTTTATGGTAATTGCGTTGAGTATTGCCAACAAAATGTTTATCAATGACCGAAAAATATGAACTTTCTACTTATGGTCACGAACTGAATTATAACCATATAAAAAAGGCTCTCTTTGTTATTTTTCCTTAGTTCCGAAACAAAGTTTTGTCATGCCATTAATTGAACAGACAAACTGAGCATCAAGCTGCAGTTATCCAGAAAAACTAATTAACCATCAGCCAGGCAGCTCAGACATTTGTTTTTTAATTTATATGGACTAAAATAATGGTGATGCCTGCACCAGCAAAGGAAATGTTTTTATGCTGGTTTAGACAGAAAATCAGCAAAGAATGTAGAAGTGCTAGGTCAACTATACCAGCCTGCCTTTGGGGGCAATGAGGAAGGAAAAGAATCATCTTTAGAGCAATGCAGAAAGCAGTAAATGGACTTGCATACAAAAAGCTTGTACAATAGCGAAAATTATCTAGATACCCTGCTAGATTTCCTCAGTTCCCTTCATGCTTAGTGCCACAGTGGGAGGGTGAGTTTCCATAACTGTATATACTTCAGTAGCTCCTTGGTGCTGGTTTAAGTGAATAAAATGGCTTACTTATCCCAAAAAAGGGCCTACTAGCAACCCATCCAGCACCCACCCAGATGATTCATTCTATTACATCTCTATAGTCACTTGATGGCAGGAGTGTCCACACAGAAAGTAAATTCAACCCCTAAATCAAGCAAGCTTGGAATACCAATATCCCACAACAGGACCACATACTTTCTTCAATAAGTTAAATAAGCATCTAATGACTATTTAAGTAGGTCATCCAAGTTTACACACTGGACAAGGCGATAATTGGTCTCGGCAAGTAAAAGAAAAGCTTACGAAGTCAGAGTCTCCAAAATAGGGAAAAGTATCTTCTAACTTGTCTCTAGATTAAAGCTAGGTCACCCAACTATATCTACAGGAACTAAATGCATCATTCACAATAGATGGCATGACAGCCTTAAATGATAATCGAACATGTGACAGCTAGCGCTACTGCTATTCCCAAAGGAGTAATTTCCCAGCTAACTACTAACTAAAAAATACTACTCATACTGAAAATTAAGAATAAAACTCAAAATTGAAGCCTCAACTGCAGAACTACAGAAACTAATACAAATAAAAACTTTACAAAAGTAATGAAAACTACAAAACAAACCTGGTGGTAACCAGGTGGAACACTGCAAACAGTCTGAAACACAGTTGGACATCCTTCAACAGGAGCCATCGGCCATTGAGACCACCTTCAAAAAGTGAAACTTCCTTTAAGAAACACAAGATACTAAAGGAGAAAAGAGCATTTGTACAAACAAAAGTGCTAGTGCCAACTTATAGTTACCCAGTAAACGTGCCACTCAGATATACACTTCTTCCTCCATAAGGCCAAACAAAGCGGGTAGGAATCAAAGCCGTGCCACCATCCCGTGCATAATCCATTGCAGAAGGATACATTCACTTTCCAATTCAACCAAACACAACCCCAAACAGCAAACAACTCTAAAATGCTGAAATTCTGATGAATGCAGTTCAGATAAATTAATTAATCATGGTTGACCATGACAAGATTAGACAACCTTAAATCCCCAGAAAAAAAAAGTCTCAAACTTTAATTAATTCTTACCAGCAAAACCTAAATTCAATGAAAATTAAACAGCACAAAGCCCACTCAAGGTAAAAAAGAAGAAAGCCAACACCTTTACCCAGCAAACAAAATTTTAAGCAAATACCCAAATTAATGGATGAAATGACAAACAAAAATTTTGAATTTTCCGATAGAATTGTGAAAAGAGCTTCGATCTTGAAACTATATGAAGGAAAGGGAACTTGATCAGGGAATGAAAACCCTAGAAATGTGAAAACTTTGAAGGAGAAAATCGGAATATGGAGAATTGAGTAAAAAAAATATTTTTTTAAGCAAAAAAAAAAAAGGAAAAAGGCAAAGGCAGAGAAATGAAGAATTTTATAGAGAGAAGAAAACCCTAATCTTATAATTATGCTTCGGAGGATTACTTTTTTTCCCCAATTCCTTTTTCTTGAATTAAAAATATTTCCTTGAAAAAAAATAAAAATTGCCACGTATGAAAATTTTATTTTTATTTTTGAATTGAAAATATATTATGAGGAAAGTGTTAAAATCGCCACGTATAATAAAATAAATTATTGAGCAATGGTATAATTTCAAAAAAAAAAGTAAAAAAATCACACACCTTAAAAGTAGATACATTCAAATGGCTCTTTACTATGATAGCTAGTAGCTATATGAAATTTTTGTTATGATAAAATAAGAATTACTACTATATTTAATACTCCAATGTTTTTTCTTAATAAAGACTAGCAATAAATAGTCGAAGATAAAAAGTAGAAAAGGTTAGTGTTTGGTTGTCTATAGTAAATTTTAATCTCTATATTTAATGATGTACTTCTTTTATAAAATTTGATTTTAATTCTCAAATTTTAGACCTTCACTAAGAATCGAAGAGCTCTTTAAAATTCAAAATCTAATTTTTTGTGAATGTATCGTTTAGGGTAATTTTATTACTCCGTATTAGAATCTTCTGATCTTATTATAATTGACGAATATAAGATTGGTAGATCTTGGGATAAAAATAACTATAAACCCTAAAAAAAATAACGATTAAACTCTATGAAGTAAGTCAATTGAATAAGATAGCTTGAATTAACTATTTGAATTGCACAATTATAAATTATGAGAGGTGAAGTATTCAGAATTAGTTGAATAAGGTAAAGTGGAGAAATTATTTGAGGTAAGTTGAGGTCTACTTTCCCAAGTTAAGTATTTGAGTAAAAAATGCATATAACGTGTTTGATAAATTACTCGAGTATAAAAATTTCAATCGATCCTATATGTTTTTACATTCTAGTAAGCATTAAATTCCAATGTTGAAATTGGGAGCTTTTTATTTCATAATGAATTACATAAAGAAACCAATCATGTTTGTATGCCTAATTAGTACATAAATGTTAGAAAGTAATTAATTGTGTTATTTGATTTAATTACTTTTGGTGTGTATTTGTTAGGATTGCTCAAACTCGCTTGTATTTAGATAAAAGTGATCACACACAACATTGAAGTAGTAATCGACTTCCTAAGTGTGAGTGTCATAAAAATCAGAGTTAGTTACGTACTTCACACTTATAGGTGTATATGCATATATATTCCAACTTGAAAGATTGGCTAACCTCTCTAGATATACTGCTAGGGATAGATGTAGGTCAATTGTTTCCACACGTGCATGTGTCATTATAGGTTAACTCGTTTTAAAATAACTATTTTTAGTAATTTTGTTTCAATGCATATCTCTATATTACATTATTCAAACTCAACTTATAGATTACAATGTAATTAGTTAAATGAATTGCTTAATTTATTTCACTATATTTAATTATGATTATTTAGTCATGATAGTCTTGTTCCTTCACTTAGGAGGTTGTTAACGAGACTTGTTATGTACCCTATTGGTGGTACTAGGTCTATTTGAGTTTGCTAAGTTGTGTGACATGGGTAGAGAAGATAGATGGAGAGATTTGTGATTAGTTATTGATTTTGTCCATTCGGTTGTCTGATGTTCTTCATTCCTTTCGGCAATAACAAACGTTTTCAATTTTTTGCATATATATATATAATGTGTGTATTACAATTTTATTATATGCTAAAGGCTTAAAACTTATTAGTGTAGATAATCTTATATTTATCACTTTATCAAATAACTTGAGAATCGTAAATATGATCATTATTGATGTCTTAAATTAATTACTTCAGTAGAATTGTAAGTTACTAATTAATTCATTCAAGAATTTCTCATATTGGGTGTCACTTTTACTCCAAGTTGGGGTGTGACACTCTTTATGAGAAATCTTCTAGTGACCAAAAAAAAAGTTATCTTAATCTATTAAGATGTTAACATTAAAATGTAGTTTTCTTAATATAAAAAATCTCAATTAAGGAGTGCAAATCATATATCAGCAACAAAGGGTTTATAATAGTATCGTTTGTTGCATGTTAGAGTAAACAGTTGAGTAACTACTTGTGCAAATATGACTAGTAAAAGTGTACATGTTAAAGATTAACAACAAATATTTGTTAATTATATATGAAAAATCATGGTATGAGTCTTTCCTAGTGATTGTCAATGGAACAGTAATGTCTGACTTTAGAACAACTAAGTGGATAAACATAAATGAAGTTGTATTTTAATTGTATATTTTGTTCGAGAAACTCCTTATGTGTGTTCCTACATGAAGATGATGAATATTATGTTGCAAAATTTATTTCTAAGGAACATATGAATAGTATTCTCCATGCATGTCCTTATTCTATCAACAACATACCCCCTAATATTAAAATCGTGGGCCATAGATTTTGAATTGATCATTGAATTTTTGTTTGAAATCTCTATGCGGGTGAAGTTCTCAAATATACCAATGAATAGTTGGAGTTACAACTCCTTAAGGAGAATAGATAGTGTTGCAAGTACGTACTTCATCATATGATAATGAACACACTACTAAATAAAACAAAAATATCATTTGCTAGGATGTTGATTCAAGTCAGTGTCACCACACTACTTGCCTAGTAAGATTTCTGCTAGCACACCTGGAGGGCACCAGTTCTCACAAGAGATTATTGGAAATTTGATTATTGTGAGAAGTGTCAAAAATTTGAACATGTCTATCCTAAATAACAAAAGGAACAGGTATAAAAATATGTACAGTAGAAGAATGAGGATTAGAAGAGACTCTTAAGACAATAAGAATAATCATTTACTTGCTTTATTTGAGAATATATTTGCACAAGCATGGAGATCCAAAGACACTGAGCCATCATGGGAAACTACCCTGCAAGAGGTTGGAACACATGCAACTAATCCTCATATTATGGCCACATATGTGAGCAAAAAGGTTGGTCATTGTAATACCTCTAAAAATATGATCATAGATTACATTGCCACTAATGATACTAGTGGTGTGAATAGACTTACATCTCTTATAACTGATTTGAGAAATGTTTGTGTTATAGCACACAGCTCCCAGCAACTGCAGATAAGGGTAAAGAGTAGACCACACGATATGAGTCTTGTTCTAGGATGCCATATTGAGTTTCAAATACTTAGCTTTATTATGAAGAAATAAAGTCTCCTTAGAAAAAATAGGGTACAAGGGCCACTTTCATCTGGGACCAATATTTCCTTATGACTTGATTAATATGGAGCATTAAGAGAGTGAACAAGGGGTACAAGCAAAGAGAATTGAATAATCATATGCAACGAGAACATGTTAGACTCCCCGACCTCTTGAAACTAGAGGTAAAGAGAGTGTTGAAAGAGATAGAGTACCAATATGATTATAAACATGCCTATAATGGTATTAATCTGAATAATCTTGGATAATGATATAAATATATAATTGAAGTATTCTAAATAGATATACAATTTATTCATACTAAGATAATAGGAAGGGGTGATGGAGTTGGATTTAATTTGATTGTGGTATATGATTATAATATTGTTATTCAAGGAAAAGGTTTATGGGCAAAAGTAATGCAGATAGCAACTATTGCATGTGACTATTTCATGCTTGATAAGTGAAGATCTTAATGTAGTGACAAGCCCATTGGATATGCTATTTGGGAACTCTATTACTTCAACAGAAATTGTAAACTTCGTAACATATATACAACTTAAAACTTAAAGAACTTTCATGAAAAAGGAAATATTGCACTTGAAAAAATAAATAACCAGGAGTGGATAGAATATGTAGTAGACTGGATAGGTTTTTTAGCAATAATCTATTGATGATGCAATGGGGGTCATCTCTATACTAAGTACGATTTGTCTGCTATATCAATCAACTTTTCTAAGGTCTTAAATATTCAAGAATCTAAAATACAATTTAGCAATTTTAATGTTTCGCAACTCATCTTAATTTTGAGAAAATGGTGGAAACAATATGAAAATAATAGTTTAGTGATACTATGAAAGTGGTCCAATCCAAACTGAAAGTCCCCAAGCCTATATTGAATGTGGAAGAATTTTAAAGGAATTGATCATAAAATTGACCAAGTCAGAAGTCAGTTACAAGGAATCCAAGAGAACTTATATTGCTACTAGTCAAATCTCTAACTGAACAAATAAAAGATTACTATGATACAACTAGAGAAGTGGCGTATTTTATTAAAAAAAGTGTGAAACAACGAAAAAAAGGGTGAAATGGATGATGGTAAGAGACTCAAACACTACATACTTCTCTTTTATGGAGTAAGAAAAAGGCCAAAAAAATAATTCATGAATTTACTACTTTTAATAGCATTAAACTCACACACTCTGAAGATATAACAAAGAAGATCATGATGGTATATAAATAGCTCATGAAAATTATTGTTTCTACATTTTGTGTTGTAAATAGAGTTATTACGAAATGTAGCCATTGACTGACTCATGCACAGAAAGTACTACTAGTCCAAGATGTTACTGATCTGAAAATCAAAAATAACATTTGATTTATTGGTGAAGACAAAACCCCTAGAGTTCATGGCTACAACGATATTTCTTCAAAAGAAAGCATGGTCTACCATATAAGCTAATGTTATACAAGAAATTAAATAGTTATTCAAAATTGATAAACTATATAATTGGGTAAATTATGTCTCAATGAATTTAGTGCATAAGGTATCCAACCCTACTATAATCAAAGAGTATAGACCAATTACATGTTACACTATTCTTTATAAGATAATATCCAAATAATTTAACGCACAAATTATAAGCTGTGATTTCCTCAATTATTTGTGATGCTCTGGGTAAATTTATACCTAGAAGAAAAATAGCAAACAACATGATATTATCATATGAGCTGGTGAAATGATACACTCACAAGCATAGTTTGCCTGAGTGTAT